AAGAAAAATAAAGAGTAGGCAATTTTCATGGACTCGCATGGTTTTCTCTCTAATTACATAAAATGCAATCATTGCATAGACCCCAAAGTCTATCATATATATGACACATTTTATAATGGCAAGCCATAAATTTTAAATATTAAAAATAAAATAAATTGAAACATTACAATTTTTTTTAATTTTAAAAAAGTGTATGAATATCCAATCATATTATAAGAAGCTTGTATTTCTTAAATCTTTGGGGTATATATTGTGCGTTGTAGAGGTTGATGGTAAGGAGGAAGGGACTGCACATGAAAAATTTTATAAAGAGAAGAGAAAATTGTTGTATGAAAAAAAAAAAAAAAGAGAGAGAAGAGAAAATTGGGAAAAAGTCCCTAATTTAAAATTTTATTAATAAGAAGGACTTGATAAACTTTCATATACAAAAAGTACAGGAACAGAGTATTATCACTTAATTAAGAGTTAGGTCATTTTCATCAAAAAAAATTCAATTGGGGATTTTTCCCTAACTTTTCTTAAAAAGAATCTCATTCAGGGTATTGAAAATCCACAAGTAAATGAAACATTCATGTATAAACCACGCAATTTAACAAAATAGAGTTATTAATATTATTTAACTAACTTAAAATGACATTCTTTTATGGTAAGAACGAGAAAAAATTTGAATAATTCAAAACGCTTGACCGAATCGACCAGGAGATTGGTTTACTATTCTGACCAACTAACCTAAGTTGGATTTTAATGTCATGCTTATTAGACATGATTGAAATCAAATTATACTAATTGATATGATGGAAATTGTGATTAAAAATTTAAACCAATTAAATACTAACAAATAAAAAAAATAATTCAGATCAAAAGCAATCATAAAATCATTTCTCTAGGATAAATTCAAACCTGGATCAACAATTAGCCTTCTAGTTTCTGTGATTCGCTCATGATCTTCTCCAAGTTTCAGCTTTTCTTTGCCTTTCTTCTTAGATTTACCAATGCGTTTGTGCTTCCGATTATATGTGATTCGTATTTGAGCCATACGATAATTGTAAATATCATTATCGGACTCTGTCTCTGAATCTTGCACCAGTAAATGCTTGTAGCTCAGAGGACGATGATGTTTCAACATCTTGTCTTCAACTTTGCTCTGCTTCAATGTAATGAAATAGTTTTATAATAAGGATTTATAAAGGATTATATATATGTGCAGCATCTAACAAAATAAATACTCACTTTATAAATCCTTGGCATTACTTTGTTCCCTTAAATTACACTATTGTGTTCATGAATGTAAAACATTAATGCTTTGGATATTGTGTAGTTCACAATATTATAACACGGTATTAAAACTTAATTCGAGTTAGTCGGTCAGACTGGTGAATCGGTGACTCACTCCCCTAACCAACTCAGTTAAAAGCTTTAAATGAGTCAGTTAACTTCAATTTAGTATTTTTTTTTTCCCCTTCATTACCATGAATCAGCATTGTTTTGGGTTTAAGAGAGAAATAAGCGACAGCCCATGCCATTTGTGTTTTAGTAATTCTATTTTATTGGATCATGTATACAGTCGATTCATAAATTTTCTATTTACTTATAAATATTGCATTTTTTCAGGATTATATATGAATATCTTGTATACTTTAGTTAAATTATATTATTTTAGAAAATATTATACAGTATCTAAGAAAATAAATACTTTGCTGGTCAAAAAAACAGAAAATAAATGCTCACTTTATAAATCCTTGGCATTACTTTGTTCCCTTAAATTGAACTTTTGTGTTCATGAATGCAAAACATAAATGCTTTGGATATTGCGTAGTTCATGACATCATAACACGGTATTAAAACTCAATTCTAGTCAATCGGTTAGACTTGTGAACAGGTGAATCAGTCTCCTAACCAACTCAATTAAGAGTTTTAAATGAGCCAATTAAATTTGATTTAATATTTTTTTCTTCATTGCCATGAAACAGCATTGTTTTGGGTTTAAGAGAGAAATCAGTGACAGCCCATTCGATTTGTGTTCTAGTAATTCTATTTTATTGGATCATGTATATAGTTGATTCATAAATATTCTATTTACTCATAAATATTAATTACTTTTTTCAGGATTATATATGAATATTTTGTGTACTTCAATCAAATTATATTATTTTGTAAAGGATTATACAGTATCTAACAAAATAAATACTCACTTTATAAATATTTGGCATTACATTTTTCCCTTAAATTGGTCTTATGTGTTTATGAATGTAGGTCATGCGTAGTCCATGACATTACATATATACAGTCTTTTTTTTTTCGGACCAGAGACTGAAGGAAAAACTACCTAACGTGGGTGGTACCCAAACAACCCGAATGTCCTACTTATACACATTAACACACTCACACACCCATCCGATGTGGGGCTTGAGAGCACCCAGAAGGGACCCCCAAGCACGCACAAGGTGCTCCCACACTTGGTTTTTATTGGGTTCGCTCGCACACTACATATATACAGTCTAGTTGGGGGAAAAAAGAACGAAAGGAAAAAAAAAACTCCTTTTGCTTTATTTTGTTTTGTTTTGATGATTGCCATTGTGCCACATCATCTATTAGATTCAATTTCTTTGTCCTTATCTTTTTTTTTTTCAAAGATGAAATCAAAAGCACAATTTTGAGAGATTTGTTAGAAAATGAAAATTTTTTCCTTCAAAGAGATTTGTATTATAAAAACAGTTGTATATTTTTTTTTTTTTACAAACAAAACAGTTGTTTATTGTACAGTGTATACTTGATAAATTTTCATGAATTTATGTTGTGTTTGGCTCGACAAAAAAAAAAAAAGAGAGATGGATTTCAATGGAGGGAAAGGGAGGGCAAGAAAAGGGAGGAGAGATATAGAGGGGAGGGGGAGGAGAGGGGAGGAATTTTAATAATTTTTTGTTTAGATTGATCGGAGGAAAAAGAAGGGAAGGTATTTTAATGATACCTTATTTGACATAAGAAGGGTAGGGACGGGAGTTATTCAAAAATTAACTATTTTACTCTTATAAAATTTAAATAAATTTTTTTATTTTATCAATATGTATGAGGTAATTTATCAACTTAAAAAAAAACACTAGATTGTGTTTTTGCCACAAGCACAACTCATTGAGGAAAAAAAACAAAAAAATTGAAATCCAATTTCTTTCCATATGTTATTCACTGGTTCTGTTGTGTTTAAAAGAAAATTACATTTTAACCATTTTTTATATTTTATTTCCTTATTTTTTAAATTTTTAACTAATTAAAAGATTAAGAGATGTTTATTATCTAAGGTTGTTTGTGAAATTAAATATTTTTTCTCTCATCTCTCCTGTGAAAAACCTCATTTTTAGAGGACAAGGCCAAGAGTAGGAAAGAAGGGAATGAGAGCTCCTCCCTTTTTAGAACAAGAAGGGAATGAGAGCTCCTCCCTTTTTAAAAATTGTTCTAGCTAAACAAGGGGAGGAAAGCAACTCTCTTCTCTCTATTAAAAAATGTTCCAGACAAACGAGAGGAGGGGAGCCACTGCCCTCCCCGCCCCTCTAAAAACCTTATATTAAATACAGTGTTGATGTGATTAGCAGTTGTTTATGCTATGCTTGGTACGTGATTTTTAGAGGGGAGGAGATGAGAGTTACTACCCTCCTCTCATTTGGCTAGTACATTTCTTAAGACTCCCCTCCCTTTGTTTGGCTGGCATTTTTTAAAGAGGGGAGGGGCTCTCATCCCTTCTTTTTCTTTTCTAGCCTCCCCTCCAAAAGTGGGATTTTTTAAAGGGGAGATGAGAGATAAAATTTTATATTTTAAAATTAACCTGAATAAAATATTTTTATTCCTTTCTTATCTTTTTTTTTTATTTTTCAGTACCTTAATCTACCGTGTGCCCCCACCCCAGCCGCAATCACACAATTGGGATCAGCCGATCATCATCTTTTGAAGTTCAAAACTGGTACATATTCTTTTATTTGGTTAATCGATGATCATGTTGATTTCTTATTAATGAGTGAATGTGTGTGACGGTGTGTGAGTTACTTGTGAATTTTTCATATGGCATTTGTTTTCTTTTTAGTCTTTTGTGCCTAGCCATCATGTTCCGTATTTGACTTAGCTTTCTCTTTTTCATTACAAAGTAGCGTAGAATCATGTTTTACCGCTACACCATAATTTGTTGTTGCTTTTTTTCACATGCATCTTTTTATTTTAAAAATGTTGATGTTTACTTTGATTGTAATTTATATAAGTAGACAAGTTCAGTCTATTTTTTTAATTTGTTTTTTTAAAGAAGGTTGGTTTAATTAAAAATATTATAATTATTGTTATTTTGAACAAAACCGGTATATAATTTGTGATTTTAATTTTTTATGCAACTTTAATAATTTTTTATTAAATTTGGTGGATTGCATTATACATATTTATATCTTGACAGAATATAAAAGTGAAAAAATCCATTTTAATTCTATAAGGTTAAAATAGTTAATTTTTTATTAGCTCCTCTCTCCTCCTCTTCTAAACCAAATAAGGTATCATAAAAATCCCTACTCTCTTCTCCCTTTTGTTAAAATCTCTCCTCTCACTTCCCCTTCCATACCCTCCATTCTCTAGCTGTTTCCCTCTCCTTCCCTTCATTAAAATCTCTTCCTTTTTCTCCTTTTCATTGAGCCAAACACAGCGTTAGAGGTATTTCTTTTTTCAGTTTAATTTAATTTAAGTTAAGTTAATTTAGCTTCTTTAATCTTTCCAAATTAATTGTTTGGATCTTATATTAAGAATCCATGCTAGTAGTTATGGTTAGCTATAATTAAGTTTGAGTATCTAGCAATGTATTCTACAGAGTATGAACCAAACATAAAGATGCACACATTCATCCATAATTATAATTGTATGTGTATCATGTAATATAAATTGAATCAGAGGGAAGCATTTGAAATTATTATCTCTAATCTATCGGATTAAAACCAATACAATTCAATAATGCTCCCCAGCAATACAAATACAAATAATATCAGAAATCTTGTGATAATTAATCCGACTTATTATATTCAATCATGCCTATAAATGTTCTTTATTGTAAAAAAATATAAAATCCATGTTTATTTTCTTCTGCTTGAATCCTTGAGTAATGGTATAGCCAACTTGTGACCCACCTTCTTCTTCTTTGAAAATTTGGAGCTTTCTGGTTAATTGGGAGTGAGAACATACATCTTGGAAGCATGTGAATCCAATTCCGCAGAAATTTTTTCCGAAATTGATGTTTGTGTTGAATGCTGAACATAATATTCATATACATCACAAAATAAGTAAAATTATTCTCTAAGGATAAGGTTCTTTAATAACTTGTAATATATAAGAATGAGTATGCAGGTGCTGAAAGTTTTTTTTTTTTTAAGCTCTTATACTCATGGGAGTTTATTTTCATAGTAAAAATAGTCTGACCATTATCTACTGTTAAGTTTGACCGTTAAATTATGCGGTATGACCAATGTCTTTAATGTAGATAACAATTTAGGACAGATATAATATGAAATAAAACTTTCAGCTTTCTAGGTACTGTATGCTCCTTCGTGGATACTTCTGGAGTATTTAAGCATTTTATCCTTATTATTTAATATCATTTGACACTTTGAAGAATATATATATATATATATATTTATATATGAAACTCTAACCTCCCAAAGATCTCGTGCATCTACAGGTTTCTCAGATTGCAAGCCGATATCAGACCAGGATGCAGTAACAGTTGCTTTTGATGAACTTCTGTTCCATAGAACCACTGCTATTCTGTTATCACTGAGAGGACCAGCCCATACCTGTCACGTTGTATATTGTTTTCTTTATTAACAAGTGTCCTAGAAAATTAACATTACTTGTGCATAACAAAAGACAAAGGAATATTTAAAGTGCCTGTATTATAATCTGAGATATGTGGCATAATGTTTTTTCATAAATTAAGTATGGGGATGTATAAAGGTGGGAAGAAAGGAAGAGAGATTATTACTTCCAAACCACCTTCACTTTTCACCTTCTTTCCTTGGACTCCTAAGCTGTCTGCAGTATCATCATAATATGTATATCAATTTTTGGAATCTTTTTTTTTTTTGGATTATATTTATGAGGAATTGAAGGTACTTATTAGAAGAAATAGCTGTAGTGTGTGTGTGTGTGTGAGTCATGCCTTGGTTGACAGCAATAACTTCCTTGTTGGTTAGCAGTTGGAATGTCGTGTTATCCATTGCTCGAACATCACAACCAATCAACAAAGGAGCCTGTATATGTATATATATACGCAAATAACACATCATCATTAATTATATTAATTTAATTCAATTAATTTCGACAATAATATATATGGTAATTAATGTTGTTTGGTAAATCTTATAATGTTGTTTTTTCAAGGAACGTACCTTAGCCAAGGCCCAAATGTTGTAATGGGAACGATATTCTTCAGTGGTCATTCCTCCATTTCCAACTTCCAACATATCTGGATCTTTAATCCCCACGTTTTGAGAATAATAATGTCAACTTTTAATTATATATATGTATTTTTTCTCTTAATTATTATTTAAAAAGTAGAGGTATTATTTACCATTCCATCCCCCTGGTCCAGCATAAGATGCCCATCTGTCATTTGCATCTGCAATACTTGTCATACTGGCAACATAAGAATTCTTATATTATTAGTCATCCATGAAATTAGGAAGTAATATTTATAAATGCTAATCTAATACACACACACATACACACACACACATCGAGATAATTAAGTATTTCTTAATATAATGTCTATGCCACACACACACACACACCCACCCACCTTTCCCATTTGTCTTCAATATCTCCCGTTGTTCTCCAACTATTCCCCACATTTTTGGCCCAAAGTTCTGGGTCCTCTTGGCCCCTGCGAGTTCATGAACCAGCTTATTTTATATATATATATATATATATATATATATAATCATAAATGCACATTCTAGCTTCTTAAACAGTCTTAAACAGAAAGACACATATGACGCTGTTGGAAATATGAGAATCAGGAACCTAAATTTTATCTGTAAAAGATGTAACCAATGAGAGAGGACTCACCATTCACACATGGAGAAGAAGATGGGCCTTCCAGAGTTTAATAAAGCGTCAGACATTTTAGGGTACCTGTGAAAACAATAATGATATCGTATTATCAGTCTGTATTTTTCAGATATATATACATATAAGTAAATAATAGAGAGATATATAATTACCTCTCTTTTGGGCTTATATTAAGATTCTCACAATTATCATACTTCAAGAAGTCAACGCCCTAAACAATATTTAAACAGGATATAATAATTAATTAGAACTCTCTGTACTAATTAAGTTTTATATACACATAGATTGCCAAATAACTTTGAAGCATATATATATAAATAAATATATATATATATATATATATAGGTGTGCGCCTAGCTACCCAGGAAGCAAATGTTTTTGCATCTTGCTCTTCATGTCCTAGAGATCCAGGCATTTGCTTACTGCACGTTTGATTTCTGCAGAAATATTATTTTAATTAATATAGATATAATGAATAAGATTTTAATTATATTATAGATGAACTTGTGCATAATGGCTCAAATTAATTAAGTTTTATTTAGGGGTTAATTACCCAGCATCAGAATAAATTCCCAGCTTCAATCCTTTGCTGTGAACATAATCAGCTAGAGCCTTAATTCCTGATGGGAATTTTGATGCTTTTGGAACCATATTTCCCTGCCACACGGTTTTAATTTTCGTTGTCAAATTTTGAACAAATAAAGAAATATATAAACCCACTGGGTACTGACTTGAATTATGAAAAGAAATTAAAAAAAACAAAATAAAACAAACCAACTCATTATATACCTCTGAATCTCGATCAAGTTCTGCCCAGCAATCATCTAAAATCCAAGTAAAATAATATTATTATTCTTAAAAATCAAAAAACAAATATGTTTTGCAAAAAAACAAAAAAAAAATTGTATATATTTAGTGTATATGTTTGCTTACCCAAATTGATATATTCGTACCCTAAGGCAGCAAGGCCCGTTGATACCATGGCATCAGCTATAATTAAAAAAAGAAACATATTAATCAAATTAATATCAAATACCTGAAAATATATATAAATTTTATTAATCTTGAGTAACATATTTACATGAAAAATTTACCTGTTTCTCGAATCATCTCCTCGTTAATGTCACATTGGAAATGATTCCAACTATTCCATCTGAACAACAACAAAAGCATTATATATAGAGGCACATACACACATATCATCTTTGATTATTCAAATAATTTCTAGTATTAAATAGCCATCAGAAGAGAACCGGCATGGGTCTCTTGCATTGCATATTACATTGTATTTTTGGAAAATGAGTTGCATCGTTTATGACACTTTACTACGAGACTTTAGAATGTGACTAAATGGTATTTTCGCCCATCCCTGATTAATACATGCAACAGCTACTAAATTAATTTGAATGGATTAAAAAAGTTAAATAAATTACTTAGTTATAATAGATATGACATGATGTAACTTTAAATTACATATCAGTTAATAAGCTGCGTAAATTGGTTTGATGAAAAATTACAAACAAGAGATAATATATTGAAATCTTATAATTATGGTCAAATCTAACACGATACTGGCTCCTATATTAGAGATATAATGGAGGGATTATATATAACTTACCAGAAAATAAACTATTCTACTGAAAGGAAAAGCCCCTAGAATTTATAAATCATAATTTACTTGTAAGATTTCCCGTGGTGGAACCCATAACCATAGGTGTACAGAAATGAAAATGGAGATTAATTAAAAACTTAGTTACCCCATGGGAGGAGTCCGACCAAGACCATTTTCAACAAGTTGTCTTCTGAGCTTGCGGTGTTGTTGTGTTGGTATGTCTGTGTCAGCGTTCAACAAACGAACACCACATGAAGAAGAAGCATTGAACAGCACAAACATGAAGCAGAAGGCAAGCCCTGCGGTAAGCATCCTGGTTGCAGAAACTTGAATTGCCATTTGTGCGTCTAATTAAGAGACTCAAACACCTCAAGGCGATAATGAAGGACGACTTCGATGGAGAAGAAGAATTAAAAGATGAAAGCCTTTGGAATTAGCTATATAGCCAGGTTTAGGAAGATATATGTGATGTGAATGATGAATGAAAGAAAGAATTTGAGTGGTATTTATAGACTAGGTCTTGAAAGAGAAGATTGTATGTTTACCTTTTTTTTCTTCCCAAAGAAGGGGCCATTTAGTTAGGTAGTTGGGATATAATGGACCTATACGTAGTCATGTATATCCTCAACATATATAGCCATGCAGCCGGAAATACTACATATCTCTTGTCCTTAATATAAGAATTAGTTTGACTTTCAATTTGGTCCTAAATATAAAATCCAAATCTATTTTATCTCTCATTTATCCATTTATTCCCAAGGTAATCCTTGTAATAGTTGCATATGTTAAAGTTTTCATCAAAGGTATTATAGAAAAGACAATACATATTAATTACAAATAATTAACTTAACTAATTTTTTTAATCTACTCAAATTGGTTAACTAGCTCTTATATTAAAGACTAGATGTGGTAGTTTTTAATGCCCATGAAAGGTGATGACCAACGGAATATGGATTGTTTGGATTACATCTAAATGATCTATATTTAATTTTTTTAGAATTATTTTTAAAAAAATTATTTTAATGTTTAAAAAATTAAAATTAAAATAATCTCTTAATTGTTAGTTTTTTAAAGAATGCTTTTTTATTTAAAAATGATCAATTGAAAATTTTAAATATGAATCATTAAAACTATATCTGGATCCATGCAAGTTCTATTCTCATTTTTTTCTTTCACTCTCTCTTTTGCTTTCATTTTTTTTTTTAATTTACGTAGAATAGAACTTCAACTTGCTGCTTTTATTTGCAACTAGTTTTTTTTTTTTAAGAAAGAAAAATCAATCCGTTATATTTATCCCCTATCTAGTTAGACACTGAATATAACCCATAAAATTGCAATGAACTGATGTCACTCTTGTAAAATTTGAATGCAAATTTGATGGTATGTTGACTTTTAGAAATGCTGACTATAAGCATATGGACAGCTTTGGAAAGATTGTTGTATATTATAAAAGAATTATAATTACTCCTTCTATTAGAGTTAATGCCGGTAGAACATCTTTTTAATTTGTCTTTGATACATACAATGGCCTTTAATTTATGAAATTCAGTTAAGCATTATTGTTTCATTTTCACATACAAATGTCCTTAATAATTTCATTAGGGACGATAGATCATAGATTTTAGCTTTTATTAAAGATATTTTTTAAAAGGTTGCAGAATTATTTATATAAAGTCTCTAACTAATTTTTAGTTAAAGAAAAGAATACATTGGATTGTACTTCAACTTGCTGCCTTTACGCCTTGTGTTAAAAAATAATCAATGAGTATTGTTAGCCAATTTTTGTTAGAAATTCATTATAAATACTCATCAGGTCCTTAACGTAGGACCTAATTATTAAGTTAATTTTCATCATATATGTAAGACCTATTTCATATATTTACCAATTTTTTTTAAATTATCTCTATTAATACTTCCTCAGCCATAATTAAATAGGACAGGAAAAAAAAGATATTAAGGAATATAATTATAGTATTTTTAATTAACTAACTTATCTAACTTTTTTAATATAATCAAATTAGTTAAATAGGTCTTATATTAAGGACCGGAAGAGCAATAAATTTGCATTGAACAAATGTCATTTATAGTTTGAATTTTGAACGCAAATTTAAACGTGTGCTAACTATAAACATATAACTACTTTAGAAAAATTATTGCATATTAAAGTGTCTAATATGATGGAACGTTTTGACAACATTCAATAATTCTTATTGTTGTTAATTGTTATATGAAAATTAATGGGAAAATCCCAGAAAAAGCCCTTGGAATATACCAAATCCCAGATTGGGTCCTTAAATTTTGAAAATGACAGAATGGGTCATTGACCCAATCTGTCATTTGTGAAATTCAGGCGAATTGACAATTTTGCCCCTGAGCAAAAGTGAGTAGTTATTCTCTAAACAAATCTAGGTAACGCTTACACTGTTCTAGTGATTACAAGATTCGTTGTAGTTAATAATAAGGTACCTGACAATAATAAGATATCTGACTGTGAAAAAATGAGTAGTTATTCTCTACACAAATCTAGGTAATGCTTACATTGTTCTAGTGATTACAGAATTAGTTGTAGTTAATAACAAGACACCTGACTATGAAAAAGTGAGTAGTTATTCGCTACACGAATCTAGGTAACACCTAAACTCTTATAGTGATTCCTTGAATCATTACAGTGAATGAATAAATGAGGGTAAAATTGTCAATTCGCCTGAATTTTACAAATGACAGAATGGATCAATAACCCATTCTGTTATTTTCGAAATTTAAAGACCCAATCTGGCATTTCCCATATTCCAAGGACCTTTTTTGGGATTTTTCCAAAATTAATTATATTATTAATTAATTTGTGTCTTGACATATATTTTGGTGTTTTAGTTTTGTCAGTTTTTATGTTTTCCACAAAAAATACAGGATTAATGTAATTTTTTGTCTCTAAAATTTAGGTCTATTTTGGTTTTGGCTCCTTAAATTTAAAAACTCATGATTTTAGTCCTTGAAATTTAGTTCATCTTAAAACATTAGTTTTTGGAAGTGTAACGGTGTTAAAATATACTAAAGTGTCATAAATATTATTAAAGTGGTGATGTGGACTCACTTGATGACACCTGGCTAGATCTTGTATAGATAAGAGAAGAAAAAACAAAGAACAAGTTCACAAAATATAACTACTTAACCCCTCTCATTGCTTGTTTGAGGGGCTATGTACTGCATTGCATTTTAAAAACTCATTTCCTTCTATATAATATGTTATTTACACAAGATTTAGCTAGACATCATCTTGTAAAGTTACATCACCACTTTAATGCCATTTATGATAATTCAGCATATTTTAATATCGTTACATTTTCATAAACTAATATCTTAAGGTGAACTAAATTTTAGAGACTAAAACCACATGTTTAAAATTTGAAGGAACCATAACCAAAATGAACCCAAATTTCAAAGACCAAAAATTATATTAACCCAAAAATATATTTAAAATAATTTATATCTATGCAAATTTTAGAGGAAGTTGCATTTTCAATAAATTATGAATGGTACAAGTCAGACTTGAAATTTTCTAAGGATGACACCCTCATTGTCTTATTGACCAAGAAAACAAATCAAATTTGATATGGGTTCCAAGTTTCCAACTAAAAATGACCAGAAATCCCGTACGACGAAAGATATAATGATATCAGCAAAATATTTGTCCAATTTTAAATGTTTTCCTAATTTAAAAGAAAACCCAAGTTGGAGGGTTTGGTGGGAATAGAATCACAAGACGTGATATTACTTTTTCCATGAATTTTGGGATATGAGAGTTACAAATTATGTACAAACAACTTCCTTAAGTTTACAAATTTAATCATAATTAAACTTCTAAGTATATACAAACAACTTCAAACTATTAATTTTATATCCTTTAAATTTTACGTTTGTATGCATGTATTTTCCTTAAATTTTAAGTTCTATGCAGTCTTTTAAACTTTAAATCAATTGCAAATAAATAATGAGCACAACTACTAATATGAGAGTTATCTGTATAAATGTAAAAATTCAAGGAGATTTATTGTGAAGTTTTAAAAGTTATTGGAAGTTTATTAAAATATGACACAAAGTTTGGGGACGTTTTGTATGATTTAGCTTTTAAAAACTGACTAAATTTTAAGCCGGGTTTTGAAGCTATAGACAGCACAAACCTAATGTAAAATTAAAAGATAAAAAAGGTATTTTTATCTGAAAATAACATACAAGTCCATCATTATTTTACTTAAAGATATATATGGTTTCAATTAAATTAAACATGGCTGGCGAAAAAAAAATTAAATTAAATATGTGTCATGTCGAATAATGATACTAGTCTGTTTTCTTGTCAAGGAAGTATATATACTAAGCAATAAGATGGAAATCATGAATTAATAAAACTTCAAGTCAAACACTAACAAATAAAAATCATTTATGAAGGATACATATAAATTCAAACCTGTAGCTGGATCAACATTTAGCCTTCTAGGCTCTATATTTTGCTCATGAACTTCTCCAAATTTCAACTTTTCTCTGCCTTTCTTCTTAGATTTACTAATGCTTTTGTGTTTCCGATGATGTTTCAACATCTTGTCTTTAATTTGGTGTTGCTTCAATGTAATTAAATACTTTTATAAGGATTTATATAGGATTATATGTGCAGTATCTAACAAAATAAATACTCACCTTAGATAAATCTTTGGCATTACATTTTTTCCTTTAAATAAATGGTCTTATGAGGCTCACCAATGTAAAACATAAATGATTGGGATCCTGCTGCGCAGTCCATGCCATCATATATATCGGATCTAATTTTTTTAAAAAAAAAATCTCATCTTTTTTGTTTTTGTTTTGATGATTATTATTGCGCCACATCATCTATTAAAAATTTTAGAAAATGGTGCGATTCTATAATTGGTATGGAGGCTAATAAATCTTTCTTTTGGGGGGGGGGGGGAGAAAGAAGCAACTAAATTCAATTTCTTTGTCCCCCCCCCCCTTTTTTGTTTCTGAACTAGACGAAAATCAAAAGTATAATTTTTAGAGATTTGTCAGAAAAGGAAACTTTGCCTTCAAATAAGGATAGTTCTTTTTTTTTTGTGTGAAATAAGGGTAATTCGATAATTGAATATGGAAACATATTTGCAGATAGAGAATTAGGGTTGGCATCTATTTTTGTAATTCATGCAACAAGCAAACATTTTTACATTCAGATTCACTGTGTGGGATGGACTTCAAAGTTCAAAGTAATTTTCTCTTAAAATACTTCTTATTTCAGTTTTTACTTTAATAGTTCTATTTATTATTCATTAGGCAGAACCAGTCTAAAATTAGTAAGAAAATTTTTCTACGGTTATATTTCCTTTTTTAATCCCAACCCAACAATTTAGCTAACTTCACTACCAACCCATTAAATAATAGCCATTCCACTAAGATAGATAGCTATTTAAACGCTCCTTGTCTTGTTTCATGTTTGAGATAATAACTCTCCGTCTTATAATTTCCTCTAACATTAGTCAACAAATTTTGTTACCACTCTTATATAGATGGTTTTGACTTTTCACGTTTAACTTTTGCTTTAAACAACACTAAACACCAAAAATAAGGTGGAAAAAACAATGACCATAGGTAGGCTTATTCTTGCCTCTTTCCTTTTCCTATGCCTAATTGCCACCACAAATGCTATCGGCGTCAACTATGGCACTCTCGGAGACAACTTGCCACCACCGGCAACAGTGGCGAATTTTCTCAAGACGAAGACCACAATTGACTCCGTTAAGCTCTTTGATGTGAATCCAGATTATATACGGGCATTTGCTAATACCGGCATCACAGTCGCCGTCACAGCCCCTAACGGAGATATAGTATCGCTCACCGATGTGAATTTTGCCCGGCAATGGGTTGTCAACAAAATCAAACCTTTTCACCCGGCAACAAAAATCAGGTACATTCTTGTGGGTAGCGAAGTGCTTCACTGGGGAGATCAAAGCATGTTACAAAACCTTGTACCTGCCATGAAGTCCCTCCATGATGCCCTTCAAGCTGAGGGAATCACTGATATTATGGTAAGTGAATAATGTAGTGAACTCCACGCAATTATTGTCACTTAAACATCATGAACACTAATATTTTAATTGATTTATCATTTTTCTTGATTGGACTGATTAGAATACTGACATGGTGAATTATCAAATTCATAATTGATCTCAATTAGACTCTTCTTTCTTGTACTAATATTTGCTTATGTGGTCTCATTGAAGGAAACAAATTCCCTTTTAAAAAAAAAAAACAGAAGGAATGCAATGGGAAGCTACATAATACTTATTATATTGAGAAAATTATTCTTAATGACCAAATTTAGAAGTTATTTAATCTTAAGAATCCATAATGGTTAGTACGCATATAGTTTCACTTATAAATTTGTACAATTTGAGTATTAAATAATGGTAAATTCGTAAATATATATCATTCAAGTTGTAAATTTGTGTTGTGTTATGGCATGTTTGGTTCAATACGCAAATGCATTCTATTGATTTAGGGCGTTTGGTTGGCACAATAAAGTAATTCAATATATATAATCCTGATTACAACATACCACAATAAATCAAATAATCCTCATGACATAATTTTGGATACGTAATCCAAATTTAAGCTTGCATGAATCAATATATGGATATACATATCCTCCATGAATCAACATTTAAACATTCATATATACCCTCCAATATTGATAGAGTTAAAAGGGTTCATGCAAATTTTGGTCCTTCAACTTTACTCTTATTTTTAGTCTCTCAAGTTTTAAATCATAGGTTTTGACCCCTCAACTTTCTTTTCATTTAAAATATTAGTCTCTATAATTTAATAAAAACTTGAATCATTCAGTAAGAACAAATTTAATAGACTAAAACCAATTATTTAAAATTTAAGAGACTAAAATCAAAATGAGAACAAATTTAACGGACAAAAAATTATATTAATCAAAGTTAAAAAGATCATTTCACATTTATTTATAATTTTTTAGATAAACTATAAATTTTCATTTCATGTTTCTTCAGGTGACCACAGCCCACTCATTGATTATAATGGAAACAGTGACACCACCAAGTACCGCCAGATTCCGGCCAGCTTACTCAGATTCCATTTTAAAGCCAATGCTTCAATTCTTAAGGCAAACCAAGACTCCTTTCATGGTCAATCCTTATCCTTACTTCAACTTAGATCCCAACAACGTTAACTTCGCCATCTTCAAGCCCAACCCCTCCGTCTTTGACCCCTTCACGCGCCGCCATTACAAGAACCAGTTCGACGCCCTTCTCGACGCCGTTCACTCCGCCATGATGGCCGTCGGATTTGCTGACGTGGACATGGCCGTGGGTGAGACTGGGTGGCCCTCCAATTGTGACAACCCGGCTATCTGTAGTGTAGACAATGCGGCGTCGTATAATAGCCAGCTCGCGAAGCATATCGCGGCTAAAAGAGGAACGCCGTTGATGCCGAACCGGCAGTTCGAGACTTATATTTTTGCTTTGTTTAATGAGAACCAGAAACCCGGCCCGACCGCCGAGAAGAACTGGGGGTTGTTTCAACCCGATTTGACGCCCGTCTATGATTCTGGAATCATGGGCAACGGACAGGTATGCTTAAACGTTGTCGTTTGGCTTTACAGAATAATAGCAGTCAGCCCAAGTTTTCATACTCATGATAGTAAAACTCGACTTGAATGGTTTAGTCAGACTTGTCTTTAATTAGTATTACTTTTGATCCTAATTATAATATCTCATTTAAGTTTTATAATTAGAATCGGAACGAGTGGTTTAGTTAAGAGTTTTGAACGGATATAATGAAATAAATTTCATATTTTTTTATCCCTTTGACATGTTTAAAATGACATTATTTTGCTTCAAAAGAGAATAGTAATCTGTTGTCACCCTTATAATTTGATAACTCATCTATTGGATTGTACATAATTTACGCGTGAATATTTCATTTACTTAACTCGACACTCAAAATCAAATCAATGAACCAGTTTCGTACCCAATTTGTTTAAGTACTCCTCCGGTCCTTAATATAAAACTCAATTATTGAGTTGGTTTTTATCCTAAATATAAGACATATTTCTCATATTTATCAATTTTCTCTAAATTACCCCTATGGATACTTCCTCAACCATAATCATAGAAGAAAGAGATGGGGTATATTAAGAAAGGTGATTATAGTATTTTAGGAAAAATATATCACATTTCTTATAATTAACTAACTTACATAACTTTCTTAATCTAATTGAATTAGTTAAATGAGTCTTATATTAAAGACCGGAAGAGTGTTTTGAATTTTTAAAAAGGAAAAAAAAATAGCAGTACGTGATATTTGTGCTTTAGTTATCCTGTTTTTTTTTTTTAACCATGTTTCCTGCATTGTTAAATTATCTGTGATTTATATATGAATATTTTATTTACTTATGAATTAATGCTTTTTTATTTAAATATTATTCTTTTTAAAGTTATATATCAATATTTGTCTATATTTTAATTAAATCGTATTATTTTAATTATGATTGCATTAACCTTAATTTAACTACGATCAAATTACTGACCCTTTAATTACTCTTTTGATCAATTTTATGACTGGTTTAACCAATGCCTTGTTCATATGAATTGTTGTTTTTCTATAATAGAATTACTAAAAATGCAAGTTTACATTAAGGTTAATCTGCTTAATAAAAGGTCATTCATGCCTCAACTACTAGGAGCTAAGAGAAAGTGTAGGTTTATTGTGATTTTCTTTCAAATAAGTGTAACGGGCAACATATTTAGATTATGTTTATGATTAACTTATATTTTATTTTAAAAATAATAATTTTTATGGTTCAATTTAGGCGGCGCCGGCAACCCCGTCAGCACCAGCAACACCGGCGGCGCCGATTCGAAAAAAGGGAGGGCATCATCAAGGAGGGGGAGGGGGACATCATAAGGGCAAAGGGGGAAGTTGGTGCGTGCCGAAACCAAACGCAGCAAGTGAATCTCTTCAAGCCAACATTGACTACGCATGTAGCCACGGCATTGACTGTGGGCCCATTCAACCCGGAGGGGCCTGCTTTGAGCCCAATACTGTTCAGGCACATGCTACTTATGCCATGAATGCCTATTATAAAGCTAAAGGCCCGGCCCAAGTCAACTGTGACTTCTCCAATTCTGGTCAAATTTCCAATGTCAACCCAAGTAAGTTCGCGTGCTCTCTTATCTGTGCATATGTTATATTTGACTGCTCTTTAGAAATATCGGGGTAATATTTTAGTTTACTTGGTTTTTTAAATTTATAATTTTTTTCTCAAACTTTTCATATTAATTACACATAATGAGGGGTTTCCATTAAAATGATAGTTTTGATATACTCCTTCCGATCCATAATATAAGACATTGGTTAGAAGAAAATTATGGTCCAAAATATAAGAGATTTTTAAGATAATTAATATGATTTTCTTCACTTTCACTCCTATTAAGAAGAGAGATGAGAGATGATAAAAATATAATATTAAAAGTAATTTTACTATTTTTTGGTGTAAAATAGGAAATTTTTATCATTTTAAAACACATTTAATGACTAAACCTTCATTTCTTTATACATAAGAAAAGTTAACCCACTTCTCATATTATAGACCGGAGGAAGTAAATGATTAAAGAAGATATTTTAAAAAAATCGACGCATATTTTTAACAAATTAGTTATCTAGTTCATATATTAAATATTCAGTCTTTCCATAAATACCCTTAATTACAAGCAAATTCTTGATAATCTCCCTCAGTCCCTATCTCCACTATAACTACTCTGCAAAAATCCATGCCTAAAGCTCTTTTTAAACAATATCAACTACTTCATAAATTTTATAAAATAAATTATAAATAGAAACAAAAAAACGTACCTGGATTGTGACTGATAATTAAGAATGGAGGCAGCTGAGTTTTTTAAAATTTCAAGAAGAAAATTTTTATAATTTATTTGTCAACATAATTGCGAAGAATTATTTCTTATATTTATTGACTTGCAATTTTTTTTGTAAAAGTAATTGCACATTATACGACTTAAGACATGTTCTTGTTATGATTTGCAGGCCATAATGATTGTAACATGTGAATACATCTGTTGGATGTAAGAGAAGAAATAAACTGAACATTCTTGAAGAGGAAAGGAAAAGGAAAAGAATACAAATGAAGTTGGCGAAGGTGTGAGATTTAATTTTCAGCGAATTTCATGACCACTCATGTAAACATAGATGTCATATTAGTCACAATATCCAATTTTTCTGTAGATAAGTTGATTTGACACGTTTTTTCTTACATGTATAGTTTTTGTGTAAGAACCATTCAAGTATCATCAATTGATTTGAGTCAGGTTAAGTTTTACTTTTGAAAAACTTCAAGTTTCTCAAATTCAACTTGACTACTGTGATTTATGTTTATTGTACCTTAAACTAAAATAAAATAGAGATCACAACCAACCTTTTCTTTTGCTAAGTACAAATAGCTTTCTATTCGAGACAATTGTATTTGAGAAACATGGATACCTCTATCTGTAGAGATTCAAATTTTAGTTTGTTATATTGTGAGAAACTAATCCCTTGATTAGATCTAACCGTTATTATTTTCACACACGCATGTGCACATATGTGTGTGTATATGAGTGACTATGTTTGTGGCAGTTTTGTTGTCAAAATTGAGGGGATACAGAAATCACAAACATTCCAAAAAGCAGAAGTTTAATCTTTTTGTTGAGACTTAGACGTCAACTTAGCTATCACTTTTGTTAGAATTGCATATTTAGATCGTTCAACCTAAATTCATATGACTTATCACACAAATCCCAACCAACGCAGCCAAAATGTAATAAGATACTCCTCCGGTCCTTAATATAAGACCCATTTAATAAATTTGATTAGATTAAGGAAGTTAGGTAAGTTGGTTAATTATAAGAAAAGTGACACATTTTTCCTAAAACACTATAATCATCTTTCTTAATATCCCCTCTCCCTCTTCTACTTAATTATGGTTGAGAGAGTATCTATAGGGGTAATTTAGAGAAAATTGATAAATATGAGAAATGGGTCTTATATTTAGGACCAAAACCAACTCAAGAATTGGGTCCTATATTAAGGACCGGAGGAGTAATATAGAAGACCATGAAATTAAACAGAGTAGATGAGCATAGGTTTTTTTTTTTTTGGTGTCCCTTATGGCACACGAAGCATATGTCGGGTAAAATTAAATAATGTTAGAGAATTTAGTGGACACCATATTTTATAATTGAGCTCATTAAATGAGGAATAACAAATTTGATTGTTATGTGAAATAAGAACAACAACAACAACAAAAGGTTTGATATTTATATTTAGTTAAAATGAGGGGAAGCTGGCTAGTTAGTACAAATTTGATGGTTGATTTGGTAGGACCGTTGCTAAAGTAATTGCTTTAGGTTTGGCGAGTCTTCCTTCTCACGAAATGATTAAATGTAGCTGCCCCTTCATCTGTCAACATTTTATTGCCTCCACTTTTTGGCTGTCAAATGGCTAAAATCATCTATAGCTAGCTAGCCACATCTTTTTTTCCCCTAAAAAAATAGTTTTATTTTGCATCCGAAAATATTATTGTATGTTATTTCTTTTACTGTTTATTTTCATTTAGAATCCAATTCAACCCAAGCTTGAATTAGTCAGAATTCAATATAAAAAGGTGTTTTTAGAAATACTCTAATTTTGCGTTTTTTTGGACATTTTAATCAAATTTTGGAATTTGATTTAATACAAATAATCTGGATGCCATGAGTCAAAGATCAAATCTCATTTTTTCCCCTCTACAAACTACACGTGGGGACAGAAGATAAGGGAACAGAAGGATCTTCTTGTATATATTTTATATTCATTATTTAAGAATTTGAGTGACTTTATAATATGTACTACATCATGTTTTTAATATAAAAGATAATTAACTAATTTAATAAAATTTTTAAAATTGGTTATTTGTAATAAATAGGTGTTACCTTTCCTATGACACCCTTACTAAAAATATGTATTAGCTAAAACCAGTTTTGATAGAACATTTAATAGGTATAACTATTACAAAGACTATTTTGAAGAAAAAAATAGATAAATATGTGAGATAAAAATAATTGAGGTCTTATATTTAGAACCAAATTAAATGTTAAACTAACTTTAATATTAAGGACCGGGAATAGTAGCATGTAGTAGTGTACTTATATTTAATTTAAATTAGGTTAAAATATACATTTAGTCTTTTAACTTTATAAAAAGTTTCAATTTTGTCCTTTAACTTTAAAAAGTATACTTTTAGTCTTTTAACCTTAAAATTATTGACAAAAATGATGATATTGAGATATGAAGTGGTGATAAAATACTCTCAAATATTAACATATTAAGTTTAATTTTCAAAACAACTATAATTGTTACTAAAAATTATCATTTAAGTCTAATAATTTTAAGGTTAAAGGATCAAATGTATGCTTTTTAAAGTTAAAGGACTGAATTGAAATCTTGTATAAAGTCAAAAAACTAAATGTATATTTTAGCATTTAAATTAACTGTTTACATTTATTAGGAAAATAATACAAGAGGCTGAGCGTCTATGGTTGGGGAAAAAAATTCAACATGTAGGGCCATACAAACAAATATTAAAAATAGTGTAGCTATAATTTAGTTAAGCTTAATTGAAGTTATCCAATAAAAAAAAATTAGAAGAAAGATACTATTCCTAAATATGAGAACCAATTAAAAATTTAATCTGGTTTTAAATATATTACCTCAATCTATTTTATCTCTCATATTTATTTTTATATTCATTGTAATTTCACGTGTTAAATAGTTTTTATTTTAACGCACAAATTAACAAGAAGATTTTTTAAAAATATCATTGATTTATTATAAGTAACTAAATAAATTTTTTTAAATATTTATAAATTAATTATTTAGTTTTTATATTAATATGCACGATAGTATCACGTAATGGAAAGGTCATGTGGCTGTCCAGAATGAACAAATTATGTCTGCATTCCCTTCTAGAGGACATGAGGAATCATTCATGTACGTAGCACTATATACAATCAATTTCTATCTAGCTATGAAAAATTTAAACTCATAGTTAATCACAAATAGAGCTTTATTTACATTAAATTTGTACGGTCAAGCCATTAATTATATTAAATATACATTAATTATGTTGAAAAGCTTGGAACACGAACCCTGCTCATTGACACAAGGTGGGGTCACACTTCAACAGACAGAGACTAAATTATCCCACAAGTTCGTGCACGGTGCACCTAACATCATGCGTTAAAACGTATATGAATTAATTAAAAAAAATTAATTATTGCTTTGCAAATATTATTTAATAACATAAAACGAAATTATTATTATTATTATTATTAAAAGGTAAAATGTCTCAATTTGAGAATTTGTTGACCACAAAGACATAAATTCGAGTACTAGATGCATATAAAATTTTGTGGAGTGTCAATACATCACATCCTTCTACCAATAATTATTTTTTTAAAAAAAATCTTTTGATGGATTTTTTCTAATTAAAATAAAAATAATGGACGCTTAAAGCAGCTGCATAAGATGGTCATCATCATCACCACCCTCAATCACGTGGTCCCCACCTCCCTTAATTAAGTTAATTTTGCAGCGTAATTATGGGTTATGACCAAAGTCCCATACTCCTCACATGCCTCCCTTCCTAAAATTGAAAGAAAATTGACACTCAATGCCCTTAATTTATATTAATAAATAATTAGAAAAATGTAATTTCCTTTAAGGATATATTACTTCTGGTCCTAATTATAAAATCTCGTTTGTAGACTATAAATGAGATTTTATAATTAGAATTGGAGGTAATATATAACTAGCTAAGACCAATTATATTTTCCTAAAGTAATTTCCTGTCCTTCTTCACATAAATTATAATATTTAAAAAATTAAATTACAACTTTAACAAAATATTAATATTGTGACTCATTTATATCATCCTTTTATTATTATTTTTTTACATTTTCTAAGTAACAAACAATATAATATCATGTAACCAACATTTAATTTAAATGAAAGTCAGATTGTGCCCTAATGAAGAAAAAAGTTTGACAATATGACTTATTTTTCATTCAGAAGGAGAGATTTTGTTTGTGGAATGTTGAGTCTAATACCACTCAATTTTTTTTCATAACAAAAACTAGAACAATGCTTTTTTTTTTGAGAAAGTCTTATGCTTCAATATACAACACATTT